TAACCTTGATTATTTATTTATTATTTATTACAGGTACTTATATAACGCCATCAATTTACTCAGAACTTTACATATATATTGTGCATTCACATCAGTCCCTGACCCTCAAGGGGCGTACAGTCTAAGGACGCTAACTTACATTCATACATACACATACTAGGGCCAATTTAGACAGGAGCCAGTTAACCTACCAGCATGTCTTTGGACCTTGATATGTCTATTTGATAATGAAGCATGACCCTAACATACCAGGATGTTCTAAGTCTTGCTTTTTGCGCATAAAGCAATTGCTATTAATTGTATGACTCATACTGTAACATTAGGTAATTTGTGGAAACATTTGTAAATGTAATTGTCTACTATGCAAAAGTGTTATATCAAAATCTATTCAATTCCAGTGACAGTATAGTGCCTGGTTGAATTCACAAGACTAGCAGGGGTTGACTTACTAAAACTGGAGAGTGCAAAATCTGGTGCAGCTCTGCATAGAAACCAGTCAGCTTCCATGTTTTTGTTTTGTCAAAGCTCAACAATGTGACCTCTGAAAGATTTACCTCCCTTTCTGACCAGGCCATTTTTTGTGATACATCACTGCGTTATTTTAACTGACAATTGTGCGGTCATGCAATGCTGTACATAAATGAAATTTGTCGTTTTATTCCCCACAAATAGAGCTTTCTTATGGTGGTATTTGGTCAACTCTGGGGTTTTTATTGTTTGCGCTATAAACAAAATTTTGAAAAAAAACCTAATATGTTTTACTTTCTGCTATGAAACATATCCAATAAAAATGTTTCAAAAATCAAATTGCTTTACAAATGTAAGCTAATATTTATTCTGCTACATATTTTTGACTAAATAATTCCCAACAAGCGTATATTGATTGGTTTGTGCAAAAGGTATATCTTCTACAAACTATGGTATACATTCTAGAATCGCTGTTATTTTACATGAAAAACATGCTATAATAATGAACACATAACAAAAAATTGGTGAGTGAGGGGCACAGAGGCGGGGAGCACAGAGCACTTATCACCTTCTGGATGTCAAAGGGATTTTTGTTCACTTGTTGATTTCACATTTAGGACTTTATTTCACAATATTTCTAATTTTTTGTTATGTGTTCATTATTATAGCATGTTTTTCATGTAATATAACATACATTGAGGCAGAGCTCCTGCTATTTTGTTTATTATATTGATAAGGTTGTGCCTTATCATTGGCCAGCACCCACTGATCGGCTTCTGCTGTAACCAATCACAACAGAAAGGGTGCGCCAGCAATGCGCACGCTCGAGCCGGAAGTATATCTTTTTTGGGGCAGTTGGCAAATGGTTAATTGAGCAAACTGACGCTAGAAGCTGATTGCCTACCATGCACAGCTGCACCAGATTTTGCACTCTCCAGTTTTAGTAAATCAACCCCTAAGATTGATCTTTCTTTTTCTAAAACAGTCAGGTTTTACCAAACATAGACACAAACTTTAGGGGTTCAATGATTCTTTGCAGACATTTGGTTAAAAGAGAGGCATTGTTTTTTTGTTTAATTATATTTACCTAGGTGGATGCAGGTGGATTCGATGGTGCATATGTCCCCCACTGGCTCTAAGGGTGAGAACTGAGTGATCAAAAACCACTGATCATTCAGTTCTCCCAGCCGCTCTGAGTAGAGAGTGTTGACTGTCAGTCACCGCTCTCTGCTCTTTTCCTCCACTGGAGCGCTGGGCTGGGGAGGGGGCAGAAGAAGCTGGACCAGGCTCTCAGCAGCTTGCTGATAGACTGAGCCAAGTGCTAGTCCAGGCTTCTCTGTAGATCCTGACCATAAGGTTGTGATCTTTCCCCAGCCTGGACCAGATCTGTAATGTCAGCGGACAATGGACATTAGCCTGCTGTTGGCTGAAAATGGGTCAAAATGGGTCACAGGAGTTCAGAACGAACAGCACTCCTGTGATCCACAGGAGAAGTACAGCCATACGAGCTTTGGCTCTACTTCTTTAAGTTATCTGCTAGTGGAGATATCCACTTGTGCCTATGTTGCAAAATATGATAGAGAGACCTTATAATATAAACCAGAAGGTATCTTTCATGTAGAAGTCATACTGTATACAGTAACTGTAATGCAGCCACACTACTGTATCTTTTTTGGTATGTTGCTTTATTGGTAAATATCAAATACCCACATCACCCTTAACTTCACAGGACAGCTTTATTTATGCCCCAAATGTCTGAATTAGAGTTTCAAATATTGTTGTGTGCATTGTTAAAAATTGACAGGTCACATAACAACAATTAGAAGAAATACAATGCCACTTCTCCTATTAAAAGAACTATGTCATACAGTGAAGGAAATAAGTATATGATTCCCTGCTGATTTTGAATGTTTGCCCACTCACAAAGAAATGATCAGTCAAAAAATCGAATGGTAGGTGTATTGTAACACTGAGAGTCAGAATAGCAACAAAAAATTCAAAAGAAATGCATGTCTAACATAATTATGCACTGATTTGCATGTTCATGAGGGAAATAAGTATTTGATCCCCTTCACAAAACATGACTTAGTACTAGGTGGCAAATCCGTTGTTGGCTATCACAGAGGTCAGATGGATTTGACCTCTGTGATAGCCAGTTGTTGGCTATCACAGAGGGATTTTGGCCCACTCCTCTTGGCAGATCCTCTCCAAGTCGTTAAGGTTTGGTGGCTGACGTTTGGCAACTCGAACTTTCATCTCCCTCCACAGATTTTCAATCGGATTAAGCTCTGGAGACTGGATAGGCAACTCCAGGACCTTAATGTGCTTCTTCTTGAGCCACTCCTTTGTTGCCTTGACTATGTGTTTTGGGTCATTGTCATGCTGAAACACCCATCCACAACCCAATTTCAATGCCCTGGCTGAAGGAAGAAGGTTCTCAACCAAGATTTCATAGTACATTGCCCCATCCATTGTCCCTTTTGATGTGGTGCAGTTGTCCTGTCCCCTTAGCAGAAAAACACCCCCAAAGCAAAATGTTTCCACCACCATGTTTGACAGTTGGGATGGTGTTCTTTGGGTCATAGGCAGCAGTCCTCCTCCTCCAAACACGGCGAGTTGAGTTGATACCAAAGAGCTCGATTTTGGTCTCATCTGACCACAACACTTTCAACCAGTCCTCCTCTGCATCATTCAGATGTTCAGCGGCAAACTTCAGATGGGCCTGGACATGTGCTTTCTTGAGCAGAGGGACTTTGCGGGCACTGCAGGATTTCAATCCTTGTCGGCGTAGTGTGTTACCAATTGTTTTCTTTGTGAATGTGGCCCCAGCTGCCTGGAGATCATGGACAAGATCCTCATGTGTAGTTCTGGGATGATTCCTCACTGTTCTCATGATCATTGACACTCCACGAGGTGAGATCTTGCATGGTGCACCAGACCTAGGGAGACTGACAGTTGTTTTGTGTTTCTTCCATTTGCGAATGATTGCGCCAACTGTTGACACCTTCTCACCAAGCTGCTTGGTGATAGTTTGGTAGCCCAGTCCAGCCTTGTGTAGGTCTACAATCTTGTCCCTGACATCCTTGGACAGCTCTTTGGTCTTTGCCATTGTGGAGAGTTTGAAATATGATTGTTTGTTTGCTCCTGTGGACAGGTGTCTTTTATATAGGTAACAAAATGAGATTAGCATCACTCCCTTTAAGAGATTGCTTCTAATCTCAGCTTGTTACCTGTATGAAAGACACCTGGTAGCCAGAAATCCGCCTGAATGATAGGGGATCAAATAATTATTTCCCTCATGAACATGCAAATCAGTGCATAATTTGTTAGACATGCATTGCTTTAGAATTTTTTGTTGCTTTTCTGTCTCTCAGTGTTACAATACTCCTACCATTCGATTTTTAGATCATTTCTTTGTGAGTGGGCAAATATTAAATATCAGCAGGGAATCAAATACGTATTTCCTTCACTGTATATATTGAGAACATTTGATTCAAAGGAAAATCATATACTCTACTTTACAATGAAATTAAAGTCCTTCTATTCTAATATCACAAATGCACCACTTTGTAATGCAATCAGATACACAAACTGTGGACTCAGGAACTTGGGGTGATCATGTAACTAAGAACACCATCCCAAATGTTCAATGCTGCCATAGGACACCTCATACTGGTGACATTAAATTGTACTGGTCAGAATATTATCTTGGCACTCAAACAACACAAGGATTAGTAGTATAATAATAACTAGTAGAATGCATAATACTAACTGTAAGTTATGTCCCTTGTGTCGATTGTTATTTTTATTTTTAATTCAATTCACCCTTTAACCACTTGCCTACCAGGCACTTATACCCCCTTATTTACCAGGCCAATTTTCAGCTTTCAGCGCTGCCGCACTTTGATTGACAATTGCGCGGTCATGCAACATTGTACCCATATGAAATTTTGATCATTTTTTTCTCACAAATAGAGCTTCTTTTGGTGGTATTTAATCGCCACTGGGCGCTTTACTTTTTGCGCTATAAATAAAAAAAGTGCAAAAAATTTGAAAAAAAAAAAACGTTTCTTTGTTTCTATTATAAAATTTTTCAAACAGGTAATTTTTCTCCTTCACTGATGTGCGTTGATGAGGCAGCACTGATGGGCACTGATAGGCGGCACTGATGGGCACTGATAGGCAGCACTAAAGGGCACTGATAGGCAGTACTAATGAGGTGGCACGGATAGGCGGCACTGATAGACAGCACTAATGAGGTGTCACGGATAGGCGGCACTAATATGCAGCACTGATAGGCGGCACTGATAGGTGACACTGATGATGGGTACCGATAGACGGCACTGACTGGCATCACTGCTGGGCACTGACTGGCGGCACTGACTGGCACAACCGCTGGGCACTGACTGGTGGCACTGACTGGCAGCACTGCTGGGCAGCACTGGTGGGTGGTACTGGTGGGCAGCACTGGTGGGTGGGCACAGGTGGGTGGCACTGGTGGGCACAGGTGGGTGGGCACAGGTGGGTGGCACTGCTGGGCACAGGTAGGTGGCACTTCTGGGCACAGGTGTGTGACACTGCAGAGTGGCACAGGTGGGTGCACTGCTGGGCACAGGTGGGTGCACTGCTGGGCACAGGTGGGTGATCTGCTGGGCACAGGTGGGCGGAGCTAGTGGGCGCACTGCTGGGCACAGGTGAGCGGAACTTGCGGGTGGCACTGCTGGGCACCGATCATCAGGGCACTGATCATCAGTGCCCTGATGATCGGTGCCGATCCCCGCTCTGACAACTGCCGGTTCTCGGCAGTACTTTCCTCACGATCTGACAGCGTGAGGAAAGTGCAGCCGAGAACCGGCACTTGCATTTCCCTCTGATCAGCGTGTCATTGGACACCACTGATCACGTGGTAAAAGGCCGCTGCGATTGGCCTTTTACCACATCACGTGATCAGCTGTGTCCGTAGGACACAGCGATCACGGAGATCGCCGGGTGGTGCGCGCCCCCTGGGGCGCGCAGGAGAGCGCGTTCTGGGAGGACGTCATATGACGTCCACTCAGAACTGGCCGGCCGCAGTGCAGCCGTCATTCGGCTATCTGCGGTCGGCTACTAGTTAAAGCAAAACTCTACCCAAAATAATGTGATAAAATGAATAGCCCAACAGACAAAACAAAACTGGTGCTTATTTCTGCCACTAGATGTCCAGCATCATTCAACTCAATTCCACTGAGCTCACTTTTGTCTTGAACCTGCCTTAACCTGGGACTGGACAGTGAAGGAAAAACAGCACAGTGATAACCTCCTTTCTCTGTGACTCTGGTTCCCTCGCCTATAAGCATACGTCTTGTCAGCACGTGAACTGCTTAGCTTTGCAAATCAATTCATGGTATGCAATAACTTGCACTAAAAATACACTTACTGTAATTTTATATTAACGATTACAAATCTGTGTTAATGTGTATTTTTCATATCTGTCCAGAATTCAGCTTTAAAGCGGACAAAAACTCAAAAAGTGAGAAATTGTCTGTAACGCTACCCCCCCGCAGTAGCTGCTTGGTAGATTGGCTTCTCTGTTCTGCCTCTACTCTGAGAGCAACATGAGCCCCACTGACACACCAGATTCAGCAAATGGATACTGCACTGCTACTGGAAGCACACATATAGATACCCTGCACACAACTAAGGTTCAGTATCAAAAAGCAAACATCAGACTGATTAGTGATAAAGGAACCCAATATATTGTCATGGGTTACAGAAAATAATAGTATGCACTTAAATCAGAAAATATGTGCACTAGGCTATAGCAGCATATAATGGCATTCTATGCAGCTAAATTAGAGTAAACCTGGTAATCCACAAAATCATCAATAAGTAGTGGCATTAGAAAACAGTAACAGCAATGATAATCAATACTGCAAGCATTAAGCTATATCCACTTTAGAGTGCAGTCTATATGAATGGCAGCAATGAAATTAAATACTCCCTAAAGAGGTACCTTTTACTATGGGCAATAGGCAACTTACCTGTGAAGCAACTATCTGGGTAGGCTTTAGCCATAATTCTTTAGCTGGCTAGCATTGGGGCCCAGTCTTTATGGTGGTGCACAGTCCCCAAAATGTCTACATGCAGTAAATAATGCTGTTAGTTAGATGGACAGTCCATATGTGCTCAGTGTCTGCTAGCAGCAACAGCCTAATGGCAGCAATGTCTTCTCATCAGTCCCAAAGATACAGCAACAGGGGTCCCGATGTTCAGATGTCAGATCCACTTGGAGTGACTCTGTTTATCAACACATGGCTACCGACTTGTAACAGGTTGATGTGCACACAGGGGCAATGATGTGCACACCTTGGTCTCCTTGTAGCAAAGGGAAAATCTCTTGTTATTCAGCTTGTGAAAATACAGCTCTTTCTCTTTATACCGGCTCACATTTGGAATTGTAATCCAATAGTCCATTACCTGAAATAGTAGGGTTTCTTTCCTGAACCTCATCTCTTGAGCTCCTTTTGCTTGTCAGCTCCCCCTGGTAGATGGAGGCAAGGTAGTCCCATCAGGCCTCTGCCTGTGGGAGTCATGCTTGTAACTGCCAGCCTTGCAGTGTATCATGGGACTTGTAGTTCTGCAACAGCTGGAGGGCCACCAATTTGATACCTGTGTGTTTACCTATTCAGCTTAAGTCAATTGTAAGCACAGAGAGCACTGCAGCACAGTGTGCTAAATTGCTCTCTGTTTCAAGTCAAGCACCTGCTATATTGTGGGGAACATCAGGAAATGTGCCTAAGCAGCACCCTGAAAAATGTACTTGTTGTCTGGAATTCCTTCAGAAAAATAGCATTGCATGTCCTGGTATGTGAATGTGGCTAGGTACTCCTGTGCCTATAGCCTCATAGCTGCATATTTGCAGAGATCTAAGGCACTGCTGCCTCATACTGCTAGTCTCATGAGGTTTGTAGTGAGATCTGATGATGCCACTATTTAGTTGCTCACTGTTCTCCATGCTGGAGGCTCTGACATGAGGAAGCAAAGCCCCACCTTTGCAAAGATAGCCTCCTCCACATAAAGACACAGAACAGAACAAGGCATGGTAAGTCAGTAATAGGGAAAGATCAGCTGCAGGGAAACTAAAGGCTGGTGGCTAGTCCTTTACCATCTGCCTACCTTTTTTGCTCACAGACTGGGAAATCTCTTACCACTTGCCAACCACACTATAGCCGAATGAGAGCTATAGTGCGGTTGTCCAGTCTTGGGAGGGCGTCATATGACGTCCTCTCAGAACGCGCCCTCTAGCGTGCCCCTGGGGCGCGCACCTGACGATCTCCGTGGTCACTGTGTCCTACGGACACAGCTGATCACGTGATGTGGTAAAAGGCCAATGACACAGCACATCACCGGTAAATGCAGTTGCCAGTTATCGGCAGCACTTTCCTCACGCTGTCACAGCGTAAGGAAAGTACTGCCGATAACCGGCAATTGTCAGAGGATGGATCGGCACCGATCATCAGGGCACTGATGATCAGTGCCCTGATGATCAGTGCCCAGCAGTGCCACCCACCAGTGCCACCCACCTTTGCCCATCAGTGCCACCCACCTGTGTCCATCAGTGCCTAGTAGTGCCACCTACCAGTGCCCATCAGTGTCCCATATCAGTGCCACCCATCAATGCTGCCCAGCAGTGCCACCCATCAGTGTCCAGCAGTGCCACCAGTCAGTGCCCAGTAGTGCCGAAAGTCAGTGTCGCCAGTTAGTGCTGCCACCCACCCATCAGTGCTGCCCATCAGTGCTGCCTATCAGTGCCCATCAGTGCCGTCTATCAGTGCTGCCTATCAGTGCAGTATCATGAGTGCCGCTTCATCAGTGCCAGCTCATCAGTGCTAATAATGGTGTAAACCTCCTGCGCTTCTACCTATGATAGATGCAAAACATAGGCAGAAGCTGCTAACATCCAATCATATACCAAAATGCTCAAAGTAAAATAAGATAAAAAGGAAATGATGCAGCGCTACTCCAAAGATACAAATCATATGATATGACCTAATATATACATATTATAAATAAATGTGAAAGCAATATATACAAAGTGACACAACATGCAGAAGAGCGTAAAAGTTGTATCTTATTTTTAGCTCATCAGTGCTGCCTATCAGTGCTGCCTATCAGTGCCCATCAGTACTGCCTATCCATGCTATGTCATCAGTGCCTCCTATCAGTGCCCATCAGTGCCACCTATCAGTGCCCATCAGTGCTGCCTATCAGTGCAGCCTCATCAACGCACATCAGTAAAAGAGAAAAATTACCTGTTTGCAAAATTTTATAATAGAAACAAAGAAAAACTTTTTTTTTTCAAATTGTTTGCTCTTTTTTGTTTATAGTGCAAAAAATAAAAATAAAACACCCAGCAGCGATTAAATACCACCAAAAGAAAGCTCTATTTGTGGGGAAAAAAATAATAAAAATTTCATATGGGTACAGTGTTGCATGACCGCACAATTGTCATTCAATTGTCAAGTGCGACAGCACTGAAAGCTGAAAATTGGCCTGGGCAGGAAGGGGGTATAAGTGCCCGGTAGGCTCGAAGTTAAAGGTGTTCTGTGGTCACAGCATATACTCTCTTTTTATAACATTAGCACTGTAATAACAATACAAACATTTGTTATTTACAATCCAATATATGCCTACTTGAAAAATCTCCTTTCATGTTGTGAGTTCTGCGTGTCTGCTGGCCATCTGTTTCTACAAATTCCTGGATTCCCTGCATGCTTTGCATTTTCTCCTCTGCTGTTTCCTTTCAATTTCAGAGGACTACATATCCCATGGTACTTTGCTGCCAGTAAACTGTGATTCCTGTATTGACTCCGCCACCTGAAACTCCTCCTCTCAGCACCTCTTTAGTTCAGAAGGCAGGCTCTGTGAAATGTGTGACACAGCAGCGCCTACCCACAGGACATAGTGAATTCATGTCACACAATTCAAGGGCGTAAATGTGTTAGGATATTCACAACATACATTTTACAGACCTCGATATCATTCAGATTAATAGGAATAATTTAGAAATACTTTAAATTTAATATGAAAATGAACATAATGATTTGACCATTGATAAGCTTAAAATGCAAATATACAAATAAAGAAATGGTTTGCCTAAAGCTGACCATACCTAGATTTCTTTTGTTCAGCCTACAGGATATATAAAATAAATCTAATGCATCCCTCCATTCACGCTAAACATCAATGGATCAATCTCCTCTACTGGCTATTGTATTCTGATAGCCGGCTGTGGAAATACCCAAACAGTGAATGCCACTAATTGGCTGCAGTCACTGTTCAGCTCTGAGTTTTTCACTTGGATTCCTTGATCTGTCGATTGAATTTCATAGAGCCTGGTGGTGTTAGCAAGGCCACCCATGGATGAAACCCATTCTGTGTATGACCAGCTTTAATCAGGTATTAACACTTTCCTCTTAAGAAAGTATAGTGCCAAAAAGGTTGTCTTGTCATTAATCTGAGCTCCTAAGCACTAACTTTATGTTGGCATAATTACTCCTAAATGAGTGAAATAACTTCCTATGTCATTATTAATAGAATAAATGTATTTTCCTTAGCAAGATTATGTTTAACAGGAAATTACACAAGACCATGTTTTTAACAAGACCATGTTTTTTCACTAAACTGTATTCCTGTTGAGATGCATACTATATGTCTTGGTTTTATGAATTTTTTTGCCCTTCTATATTACTTCTCTTAGGTAAAATTGTGCTATTTTAAATAATACAAAGGAGTGTATGGCTTCTGATGTATCACGCTTGAATAATATCATATGATTTTAATATGAACTCTAGATAATGTGCATAAGAAATGGGAAGTTGGGTTACCATAGAGATTTTAGAACAGTCTTTTGATTGCTTGGGATGTGCCAAATATTGTTCCTCTTCTCAAAGGTGACTATGCTAATAAGAAACATAAATATGTGTGTATATACACTGTTCAAAAAAATTAAAGAAACGCTTTGTAAACACATCACATCTCAATGGGGAAAAATATCATGCTGGATATGTATACTGATATGGACTGTGTAATGTGTTAGAAATGTAAGGATGGCCCATTGTTTGATGAAAATTAAAATGATTAACCTACAGAGGACTGAATTCAAAAACACCCCGAAGATCAAAGTGAAAAAATGATGCAGCAGGCTAGTCCATTTTGCTGAAATTTCATTGCAGCAACTCATAATGGTACTCAGTAGTTTGCATGGCTCCCACATGCTTGTATGCCTGACTGGGGCATGCTCCTAATGAAACAACAGATGGTGTCCTGAGGTATTTCCTCCCACATCTGGATCAGGGCATCACTGAGCTCCTGGATAGTCTGAGGTGCATTCTGGCGGCATTGGATGGACCACAGAGGTGTTCTATTGGATTTAGGTCAGGCAAGCGTGGGGGCCATTCAATGGTATCAATTCCTTCATCCTTCAGGAAATGCTTGCATACGCTAGCTACATGAGGCCGGGCATTGTCATGCACCAGGAGGAACCCAGGGCCCACTGCACCAGCCTAGGGTCTGACAATGGGTCTAAGGATTTCATCCCGATACTTGTATATTGACAGTTAAGGTGCCATTGTCTAGCCGGTAGAGGTCTGTGCGTCCCTCCATGGATAAGCCTTCCCATGCCATCACTGACCCACTACCAAAATGGTCATGCTGAATGATGTTACAGGCAGCATAACGTTCTCCACGGTTTCTCCAGACCCTTTCATGTCTGTCACATGTGCTCAGGGTGAACCGACTCTCATCTGTGAAAAGCACAAGGCACCAGTGGCGGACCTGCCAATTCTGGTGTTCAATGGCAAATGCTAATCGAGCTCTATGGTGTCCGGCAATGAGCACAGGGCAAACTAAAGGACGTTAGGCCCTCTGTTTCTGATTGTTTGGTCAGAGACATTCACACCAGTGGCCTACTGGAGGTCATTTTGTAGGGCTCTGGCAGTGCTCATCCTGTTCCTCCTTGCACAGAGGAGCAGATACTGGTCTTGCTGATGGACCAGCCCTGTCCAGCTCTCCTAAAGTAATTGTCTGTCTCCTTGAATCTTCTTTATGTTCTTAAGACTGTGCTGGGAGACACAGCAAACCTTCTGGAAATGGCATGTATTGATGTGCCATCCTGGAGGAGCTGGACTGCCTGTGCAACGTCTGTAGGGTCTAGGTATCACCTCATGCCAGTAGTGTCACCAGTAGTGACACTGACCCTAGCCAAAGGCAAAACTAGTGAAAAACAGTCAGAAAAGATGAGTAGGGAAAAAATCTCAGTGGCCTCCACCTGTAATATCATTCCTGTTTTGGGGGTCATCTCATTGTTGCCCATCTAGTGCACCAGGGGGAGCTTACAAGCAAAAGTTTAATTGACTTGATACTATACTATGATTAAAAAGTGTTCCTTTAATTTTTTTTGAGCAGTATATATATATGTATATATATATATATATATATATATATACACACCCTGTTCCAAATTATTATGCAAATTCTATTTAAGTTTCACAAAGATTAAATATATTTTGTTTTTCAGTTTAACTCATGGATGGCATTGTGTGTCAGGGCTCTTTTGATCACTGAAAACAATCTCGGACACCTGTGATAATTAGATTGGCAGGTGAGCCCAATTTAATGAAAAACTACTAAAGGAGGGTGTTCCACATTATTAAGCAGAGCACCATTTTCAAGCAATATGGGGAAGAAAAAGGATCTCTCTGCTGCCGAAAAAAGTGAAATAGTTCAATGCCTTGGACAAGGTATGAAAACATTAGATATTTCACAAAAACTTAAGCGTGATCATCGCACTATTAAGAGATTTGTGGCTGATTCAGAGCACAGACTGGTTCGAGCAGATAAAGGCACATTGAGGAAGATTTCTGCCAGATCCAATTATCGGACCAAGAGAGCAGCTGCTAAAATACCATTACATAGCAGCAAACAGATATTTGAAGCTGCTGGTGCCTCTGGAGTCCCATGGACATCAAGGTGTAGAGTCCTCCAGAGTCTTGCAACTGTGCATAAACCTTCTATTTGGCCACCACTAACCAATGCTCACAAGCAGAAATGGCTGCATTGGGCAGAAAAGTACATGAAGACTAATTTTCAAACAGTCCTGTTCACTGATGAGTGCCGTGCAACCCTGGATGGTCCAGATGGATGGAGTAGTGGATGGTTGGTGGGCGGCCACCCTGTTCCAACAAGGCTGGGACATCAGCAAGGCGGTGGTGGAGTCATGTTTTGGGCCGGAATCATGGGAACAGAGCTGGTTGGCCCCCTTAGGGTCCCCGAAGGTGTAAAGATGACCTCTGCAAAGTATGTGGAGTTTATGACTGACCACTTTCTTCCCTGGAACAGAAGGAAGAACTATGCTTTCCGTAATAAAATCATCTTGATGCATGACAATGCACTATCTCATACTGCAAAGAATACCTCTGCATCAATGGCTA